AGAGTGTACACCTCGATGGCCAAGAGGAAAACTGCCTCGGCCATTGAGGTGTACACACCTCCACGGCCGAGAGGATTCTCTCGGCCGTCGAAGGTATACACTCTCAACGGCCGGGGGAAACCACCTCGGCCGTCGAGGTGTACACTCTCCACGTCTGCGAGGCAGCTCTCGGCCGTTGAGGAGTGCATTCAGCAGCCGAGGGTTTCTCTCAGCGCACACCTCGACGACCGTCAAGTGTACCCTCGGTCGTTGAAGTGTGTACACCTCAACGGCCGAGGCGGTTTCCATCGGCCGTTGAGAGTGTATACCCTCAACGGTCAATGAGAAACGGCTCAGCCGTTGAGGTGTACACTCTTGCAGCCGAGGGGTCAACTCTTGGCCGTGAAGTGTACTCCCGGCCGCTGCCGTGGGTCTCTTGGTTCATCGACCCCCAACCCTGGTCGGTTTGGGAGGATCCACTCTCAAACCGACCGGGGATTTTTATTATTTTTTATTATTTTGTTTAGGGAGTCGACTCCCAAACCAGTCAAAGGTTTTGGGAGTTCAACTCCCATTTTTTGGGGAATCCGGGGCTTGGGAGTCGGCTCTCCAGTTTTTGGGAGTCGTTTGACCAAGCCCCTTTTTTCATTTTTTGTCTGTTTATTTCATATCATTTTCTTACTTTTTTCTTTGAGATTTCCTGTCTATCCAATCCACCATCCATGGTATTCTTCACATGATACTATGATTATTGGCTTTCATGGCTTGTATGCTTCTAATTTCACCAACATGCCCCTCCCCTTCTAACATTCATCATTGCAATCCACTTTGACATCACAAAAAAACAATCATTATTGCCCTTTGCTCACTTGCTAGAGTCAATTCAAGCCTCAGATTGCTGCTAGTCTCCTATTTGCACCTTGATGTCCTCTATTCTGAGCACACATCATAGTTGAATCATAACAATCATCAAAGGCTGACCTGATGTTTGCCCTTTTATTTTTTTTGTGGGTGGATTGGTGGAACAGCTAGTCCAATGGGCTCCACTCTCATTAGTGATGGAATATATCTGATTGATCAAAGAGACAATGATGGTCAGACTAGAGATAGATGAAGCAGCTCCATCTAATTCACCAGTACCATTCAGCCCACAACTGAGGATACCAAAGGCCAAGCACAAGCCCCGATTATTTGAACAGTCTCCCCTGCTCTCCTCTGCCCTGGACCCAACTTCCTCCACTTACAAAAAAAAAAGAAAGAAAGAAAAAGAATAAAAATTAAAAAGTAAAAAAATGAAAAAAAGAAAAAATAAAAGAATTAAAATAGGGTGTTAATAAAAAAACGCGGTAAATCTGCGTTTACACACGGTTTCTGCTGCGCGCAGCACACGCGGATTCCGCGTGTACACACGGTTTTTTAATTAATTTTTTCCGCTTATTTTTTGAGTTTTTTCGAAATTTTAAAATTGTTTCCTAGGTTTTAAAGTGTGTAGAATTTAATGGTAAAGACCATTTTTTTTTCCACTCATTTTTTCCATTAAATGTGTGCATACATGTTTTTACCTTATTTTTCATGTTTCTTTGGAATTTTAAAATTATTTACTAGGTTTCAATACGTGTAAAATTTATTGGTAACATCCAATTTTCATAAAAATGAATGGTTCATTCTTAATAATGCAATTACACCCATTTTTCACTTAAACTTTTAGAGCTTAATTTTCATTCTTTTTGGACATTTTAATTTTTTTTCCTACACTTTAAGACATGGTTAAAATTATGGTAACAACCATTTTTTCATCAAAATGAAAAATACATCTTGAATGCTGCATTTGACATGTTTTTTTAATTAATTCTTCACTTTTTCACTTAATTGTTTGCATACATGTGTGTCCCTTATTTTTGATGCTTTTTTGAAATTTTAAATTTGTTTCCTACATTTAAAAATGCATAGAATTCAATGGTAACATTCGATTTTCATAAAACTCAACGGTTCATCCAGAATACTGTAATTGGTCATATTTTTCAATTGATTTCTAAGAGCTTGATTTTCATTATTTTTTGACATTTTAAATTTGTTTCCTACACTTTCAGACATGTTAGAAATGATGGTAACAATCAATTTGCATCAAAATAACAATTGTATCTAGAATAATGCCTTTGGCGTGTTTTTTTAATTAATTCTTACACGCTAAATTATCCTTATTTTTTGGAACTTTAAGTTCATTTCCTACATTTTGAAAGGTTTCCAAATTGATGGCTTTATTCATTTTGAATTCAAATCAAATTTGTATACCATACAAATTATGCAAGAAACGGGGTACACTCATCTATTAAGATTGAAGATTCTATTTCTAGGCAAATTAGACTTCACCATTAAATTCTAAACATTTTTAAATGCAGGAAATAAATTTGAAATTTCAAAAAATGATCAAAATTAAGCCGGTAAAAATCATTTAAAAAAACATAAAAAAAACCTGTCCAACACAGTATTCAACCACAATATTCAATTTTCATGTAAAATAGTTACTAACATCATTTTTTACATGTCTTGAAGTGTGGGAAATAAATTTAAAATGTCAAAAAAGAATGAAAATTAAGCTGTAGAAATTTAAGTGAAAAAATGTGTCTGATTGCAGTATTAAAAATGAACCATTGATTTTTATGTAATTTGGATCACACCATTAAATTCTAATCACATTGAAACCTAGGAAATAAATTCAAAATTTCAAAAAAACATTAAAAATAAGTTAAAAACATTAATGCAAACATTTAATTGAAAAAATGAGTGAAAAAAAATTAATAATCAAAATTCATTTTTATGAAAAATGGTTTTTACCATTAAATTCTACGCACTTTGAAACATAGGAAACAGTTTTAAAAATTCAAAAAAACTTGAAAAATAAGTGGTAAAAAATTAAATTAAAAACCGTGTGCAAACGCGCAATCCGCGTGTGCTGCGCGCAGCAGAAACCGCGTGTAAACGCGGATTTACCGCGTTTTTTTATTAACGCCCTTAAAATAAAGGAAAACTGCAAAAAGAAAAAATGAAAAAATGAAAAAATGAAAAAATGAAAAAAATAAAAAAAAGAAAAAAAAGAAAAAAGTGAAAAAAAAAATGAAAAAAATGAAAAAAATGAAATGAAAGAAAGAAAAAAAAAAGAAAAAAAAGTGAAATTATTGAATACCTGCGATACTGTGCCAATACAATATATTCAAAACAGATAAAATTTATCTGTTTGCCAATGAAGCCAATAAAATACTTTTTATTGTATTGGCAAACAGATATAATATATTTATTAAAGATAATTTTTATCTGGACACCAATACAATATAAAATATTGGGCAATAATTTATTTTATAGTATATGTTGCACCGTTGATAAGACTATCCACTCATTACTTAAATTTGGTGACCACTGCTTGATTTAAAAGAATCTCTCACAAGACGATCGTTGTGTTTAGATCTACCACTTATTTATCAATCCTATACAATCCTTAAAAGATTTCTCACATCACAATTATTAAACAAGTGGCTACTTTCTTGTTTAAGGAAAAAAAATCCGTCCGATTTCATAGCTCACATATAACGAGTAGATTAGCAAGCCAGCAATTTATTCCGGAACTTCCGAAAGACAAAAAATTATATGAAGATGCAGGTCCAAACCATGATGAATCTGCTGCTATTGAATTGTGTTTTCCTGACCAATGTCAACGGCTATCTTGGTTTCGACGGACTCTTTAGCGCATTCAGGCTTTTGAAGAGTGGAGGTAGTCTACGCGAAGCAGAGCAAGGGACTGCATCGATGAAGAAAATATTGGGCGAAGTAAACAGAATGCGGGGTGCAATGGGCTCTGCAACACGTGTGGACATGAAAGCTTCGAAAGCGGGCCTCGAAACTATGAGAGCACAACCATTGCCGAGAACCTTCAGTCGTCGATCCAGCGTCAAAACCTTAACGCGTAGGAACAGTAATCACCAAAATTCTGCACGCGGAAAGTGATCAAAGATGGACCGACCCGTGCAGTCGTTGCACCATGGTCATAGGAGGATGATGCTTGTAAGATTGCAGCTGAAATTATACAAGGGACCAAGCTGCCAGGTTTTCTTTGTAGTTTCTTTCATCTGATGCATGCTTCTCATATTTTGATCTGTTGTGCTATCTTCTGCCAATGGGTTCTTTTTCCATTTTACTTGACTTTCTCCTAGGTGAAATTCCATACTCATATTCTACATACATGTTTTGTTCCCCTATGATTTTGGATTTTGACCCACCCACATCTTGAACACTGCAGCTTCCTTCTCCAACCAATCTTGAATTTCATTCCCTAGTGGTCATCCATGATTATCCCCTATTAAAATTTCAGAATGTAGATATGCAATTACTGGTCATTGAAACATGGACAAAAAAATCACAAAATAAACTGCAATGACCTCAGCCTCTTTTCCTGATAACTGCATAAACTGGCAAAATGGAGAATAAAGGTGAAAAATCAAGAAAACCAAATCATGGGGTGGACTTTGATTTGATACCATTTTTTTTATTCCACTATGTATAAGTTTCATTTGCTGCCCTTCACACAAAAAAAAATAGGTGATATTTGCTTTCCCAAGTACTATTATCCAAACAAATGTGTTATTTTTGTGAAGAAGTCACTGGGTTTTTTTTGTCCCACATTTGGACACAGCAAGGAAAAAATATGATGTTGGTCAAGTCAGCACTAACATCCTATATATACCTCCTCTGAGAGGGCATGTCCATTTGAGACGGCCAAGTGTTATGATGCTACAGAAAGGTAAAAAATGGACTCAAAATCTAGAAGATAGCTGCATGAAACAGAAGCAGAAAGACATTTATTGGAGGAATTCCCAACAGAATCTGTGGGTCCCCCAGCTTTGATTTAGAGCCTTAAAAGCTAGATTTCCATTCAAAAACCTAAACTTTTTGGGGTCTTAATTGAAAAGGAAGTCGTACATTGGCTTTCTTGATATTATTTTTCCATGAATTTGAATCCATTCATCACATTATTGAAAACAATGAGAGTACTCCAAAGGAAGCTCATACACTAAAATTCAACTTGGTGGTACAGCTGCCCTCAAACCCTACTTACACTTGACAGTACAGCCTCCCTTGAACCCTACTTACATACACTTGACTGTGACAGTACAGCTTCCCTCAAACCCTACTTATATTCTGATCTAATAATAGCTAACAAAACTGCCAGGCATTTTCTAGTTAAAGGTAAATTTCAATGCAGTGGGGCTAATTAATCATAGATGTGGATGAACTAGTTTAAACCATGAATCTGTTTTCTACCATGATGTCAAAACCCACTGCTCTATCATATAATTTGTGATCATCTGATGTAGAATGACAAGTTGTAAGCCTTGAATTGAATCATGGGTTGATGCTTAATTTCTTGTTCTTTTTCAAATGAATAAGCATGTGATGGAATTCATGCCCTCTAGTTGGACAGCTACATTTGCAATCATAGTAGGTTTTCTTTGGAAGCAAGGGAACTCATGCAGTGAGACAGAAAAGAAGCAAATTGATACACTAGGCATTTTTCCAGTCAGATAACTGAAGCCGTACTGATAGACTATGGTGAGAAAAGAGGTTTCTTATTGGATCGAAAATTGATTCATAATTGAACATTTTGATGATGATTAGACAAGCCGAGTTCCAATTTCGGGTGATTGCTGTTTAGGATCAACTCCACCCCATTCGGGTGCGCCGAGGGGACGTTGTACCCTAACCTGTTCGCCATCCCACTCCTCCCAATTTTTCAATCGTTTCGACTTGGATTGCTTTTTGTTTTCGTCTGACAGACTAGGGATCTGGGATACTTCAGAGATTTGTGGTGCCGAGGGTTGGGAGAGTTTGAAGTACTCTTCCCTTAGATCGAACGGCTTTCGATTGGCTTGGTCTTGATCAAGCTTGAGCTTATCAGCATGAGTGAGCGATTGAACCCTAGTAGCTTGGTAATCGTATCGGGTTTGTGTTAGCCTCGAGAGCATTACCGAACCGACGAGAAGGGTACCTAGACAATTGACAAAGAGGAAGATGAAGAGCGTCAGGTTAGCATCTGCTATCATAAAATAATCACAAACGAAGGGGGAGATCGAACTAATGAATGGGAATCCAAAGAATATTACAGGCCGCTGTCGGACGTGGCGAATAAGAAATTGCAGGTACGGATTCTGTTGGCTTGAACGTTCTCGCAAATATGCTGTCAGTTAGCAGGCATAGACCACAAGTGATCAAGACAACAGATGACGGAAAAACATCTCACACGATTCCAGTGTCTTTCGAGGAAGCAGTCCCATCCTGAATGATCCACTGAGGAGCTCCGAGTCGTTTGGTAGGGTCCAGTCCTTTTAACGCGGACTTGTGGATGGATGCCGATGAATAATTATGATTATTTTCAGTAGTAGCATATCGAATATGCTCTTACACGGTGGCACTCTACCAGCCGGAAGTTAACTTACATCCAAAAACAACCTTTTCTGTAAAGTTACCAAGCGCTGGTACTTCAAGCAAACTGGAACCCAGTTATTTAAGTTATTTGCACCTGTCTTATGACTCGGCGAGTTCAGCACTCAGATTATCGGGTCCTCAACGGCATTTTAGCCGTCGCCCGGTATGTCTGGTCTGCCTCAGAAATCCAAGAAACCGGATCATCATCTTAACAATCCTCAGCCAACCAGTCGATATTTCCTCTTGTCCTCATACCTGTTTGATTTCCGGTCTGCCGGTGAAAAAATTCTTGTCGGTTCATGATGAGAGAGAAACGCAAGAGAGGAAGCTGGCTCATCAGCAGATCAGTTGATCTTTTCTCGTCGTCATCGTACATGCCCATCTGATTTCCGGTCATATGCACGTATGTCGCACCGTTACATAGGGTGTGCTTGCGTTGTTTAAGATAAACAGCTGTTGGTGATGTAAAAACACGCAACCCCTCCGGACGCAGCTCGTGGCGCAAGCTGAGAAGTGATGCCATGATGGTTGATTCAGAGCTGGAGAGAGGCACTCGGTCTGGTCTCGGTATAGTATGAACTCTCGCTCCACGAGCCCGGCTCGGGAAGAATGTGCACCACTGTCGACGCGTAATTTTAGCCGGTTGTCGACCAACCTCGGTCCTCAACTCCAAGGTCCAACACCTTCTACGCATGGTTTAGTGACTAGTCGGAGCGTCCTCATTCAAAAAAAGTTCAAGTTGTCCAGCGCATCCTCGACTGATCATCTGTCGTCGCTTGCTGCATACACGTAAACGGCCCTTAGCACTAATCCCTCTAGCCTCATGGATGTGTACATCTGTGTCAGTGTGCCATATCGTCATTTTGGAGGAGCATCACGACAACACCGGAGTGTTGTGTAAAATTAACCAAAGGCCATTGTTCTCGTGTCCATCATCTCATCTCCGATAGCCATTATCAGCTCGTCTCATACCAAGAGGCGCAACAATCCACGTGTAGACTCAATCGCTATAAGGCTCCTTTCAATTCTTCATTGTGGAGCATTCAAGTCGGGGAACACACTCAGAGAGCTTATGCTAGCTGTTGGATACAATCTCGACACCTACTTGCCTTGAAAACTGCAGTCAACTTTCCTTCGACTCGCCCAGTCATCCATCGGCTTCAACAAAAATGGGCAGTGACGACGACGACAAGCTAACCGACCTTCCAGATCTCATGAAATCTCAATCAGCCATTCGGACTCATCGGTTATCTTACCTTCCGCCATCCACACTGAGTGAAAGAAGCCAAAGACGACATACCACTGGGAGGATATCATTCGGCGAGCTGACCTCGGTGCCCAAGTTCCCTGCCCATCGACCCAAATCCTTGGAATGTGTTCCGGAGATAATGGATACTAGGGAAAAGAGACCAAGCTTTTACCTCGCCAGAACTCCCGAAACCACCGACGAGTTTGTGGTATTAGATCCACCTGCCTCAGTCACCGATGAAGCAACCTTGTTCCCTCTCCAAGATGATCCCGCGGAGCTATCTATAACCATCAGGTCTAGTCTAACAGGCATCATCATGGGTATCATTGGTTCTGCCGTGGGGCTGGTTAGTTCCAAAATCATCTAACATTCTCGAGTCTCGAGATTAACATATCACTCATCTTTTCTTTTTTTTTTTCGTGCTAGCTTTTCATCTTCAAACCTGTCATGGTTTATCTTGCGCCCGTTTTCCTTCAGGTTGGCTAGCTCTCATTTGTAAACTCTGTCTGCAATTCTTAATGATCACTGACAGGCGGTGTCGTTGATGTCTAGATCATGTGCATGTTTTTTGGCCGCATATTAGCACTCATACCTGGACCCAAATGGTGGAATCCGGGGGCTTTTAGTCTTGTAGGCATCAAGTAATCATTCGTTTCTAGATAAGCACATGCCACTAACTCTTAGGATTTTTTCAACTGAGCAGAAAGAAACCGTATATTCCTCAATCATCTCCACGGCTGCGCGTAATGTTGCATATTCCATCGTGGTAGGCTGGACATTTCTGTCGCTACACTTGGATTCGAGCTCATCAGAATCATTCTCATGCGCTTATGATGTAGATGCTGGCAACCGAAGATCTATATTTTGACCAAAAATCAACTCCACTGCGGTCGATGGGAATTCTTCTTAGTACCTCAATGGTAGGCTATGGATGGGGATAGTAAGCTTGTGCCGAGAACATCAGTTCAGTCCGTAAAACTAACGCGAAGCTAATCCCGTCAATTCTCATTGCAAAAGCCTTATTGCTCCCGTATTAGTCCACTCATCAGCTACAATTTTTCCGTGAGTAATCACACCTCTGATCATATAATCTCTAAGCTGATGGTATCAATAATTATGGCTCGGTAATTGCCCTTTGAAAAGGCACATTCTCTCGTCAGCAGCCTTGTTTTACGGCGTTTCTGGAACGGGGGAATACCCAAAAAAGCAGATTTCACTATTCCATAAAGTGTTCGCAGGAATAAGTTTATGTGAGTTCGAATGTATAGCAACCAAGAGAAATATCAAGCCTCTCATCTTTATACCTTTTTACGCGATTGAATTGTTCGAGGTACAGATGAAATTATACCAACCTACCTGATGCCAGCCCTACAAGGCGTCAGCTTCCCCTGCCTCGTCCTTCCCGCTAGCACGTTGATTACCAGCTTGTTTGGGGGTGTTGCTCCGTTCGAAGGTCTGGGATTCTTCGAGCTGTCTTTCGATTGGAATATAGTTGGAGCTGGCAGCCCATTAGCCACACCCCTGTTTGCTCAGGTGCGATTCCAGATCATACCGAGACAGCTTAGAGTCACTGATTGCTGACTTGAAGTACCCCTCATCTATATTTCTTATAAAAGGCGCTTCAACTGCTGTCGGTCATCATCACAGCCCTCATATTTTGGCCTGCTTATAGCTTTTCGTGGTTTGGTGCGGATTTAATCCAACCGCTGTCATGAGAGAGGCCGCCGCTGAACCTAACTCACACACTTTTGTAGGCTTTGGCCAAGAGGAAGAATTCCCGTTCCTCTCAGTGTCGCTTTTCCAAGAAAACGGCACTCTGTATCCTATCAAGCAGGTCACTAAGAATATCACCAAGCTCGACCAAAATCAAATCAGCCTACCAATCTACACGGCGACCAACGTTCTCACCCAGATATTTCAATCACTCGCGGTCTCCTCATCGATCACACACATTTTGCTCTGGCAATGGCCTTTGATACGCACAGCGTTCAAAAGTAGAACCACAAACGATAAGGAAAAAGATCCTCATCGACTGTTGGTTCAAGCATCTTACAGGGATTTTCCAGTGTGGTAAGGCCAATTCTCCTGAGCTTTCCATCGATAGTGCTCTTTGATGATAGCCACAATGACCTTCAACGTGTATTTTTAGGGCATCACTCGCTTGCCTTGGCAGTGCGACAGTTTGGGCATTCTTCCTATGCTACAAAGAGGATATAATAACACCGTTCAGCCTGCTGATATCAATCGGTTTATCGGGAATTCTTACGTAAGAAAATTGATCATGGTACATAGCTCTTGAAAGCTGATGCTGACCATCATCAACATCATAGACTTTCGATGGGATTCATATGCGCTATTTCAGGCTACACCTTACCACTGAATGGGGTCTGCCAAATGATAGGAGGGTTAATCTTTCGTGACAACGTGATGGGTAACATGTGGTTTTCCAAGTAAGTCTTCTTGGCAATACTAGGAATATGTTAGAGGTGCTAACGACCACGCTTACAGTTATAGGTTGGTTTTTATCGACGCTATTTCCTAGGCTAGCGCTGATAATGTCATCTTTCTTCATGATATAGCTCTGCGCCTACTTCACAAGCCCTCAGCGCAATGTCAGTGAGTGTAGTTTGCTTTTCATGTCAATCTGTTTTATGGAATCTTAAATGTTCTGCAACACAGGAAATGAAGCTGGGGCAGTATACTCACATGCCTCCGGTAAGCTGTTTACTTCTCAGATCCAGTATGCTCAAATGACAAGATGTTGAAATCTTACCTATGAATGCCCATCTATAGATCTCAGTGGCTACCGCTCAAGCAACTGGAATGTAAGAATTTCAAACAAGACTTGTGAACCGGACCCATCAACTGATTGTCGCTTTGAATTGAAATAGGTTCGTTGGTGTGATCGTCAATTACTTTGTTCTTGAAGGCCTTCTCAGCAGTCAGAGGGAAGCTCTTCTACTACCGAACGGAGACGGCATCTATTCCGGTACAATTGTTCAAAATTATGGCGCGAGTGCTATTGCGTAAGAAGAATCTGTGATTTCCTCAGCCTGCGTGATCGATAAAAACTAACCTACGCTGCCTGAAACCAACCATCTTAAAAAGCTGGGGGAAATTTTCACATGACCTCTACACGTGGGGAGGGAGATACGTGAGCCAATCATCCGTGGTATTTTAATTTCAAGGCAGCCAGCATACTGAAATCCAGACGCACAGGTCTCGGTTCCGTTAGCTCTGGGCTGTGGATTGTGTCTACCTATACCATTTTACCTACTATTCAAGCTATGGCCTCATCGATATATCAAGGATCTCAACATTCCAATTGTGATGGGGTTTGTCGCCTTGGGCAGCTTAGGTATGCTCTCGTGATCAAAAAAAAAAACTCTCCGGGTAGCTGATGAGCTTTGCGTTAACTGCTTAGGTGTATCTGCTGGTCGGACGATGAACATTCTCGTCGGTTTGGCATCCCAGCTGTGGGCTCGCAGATATTACCCAAAGTGGTAAGTTTTGAGATTTAAGAGAAGATAAATTTCGTAAATGTGCATTTCACCAAACATCAGCACTGAGAATAATGATTTTTCTAAGGTTTTATAAATATAATTACGTTTTATCAGCTGTAAGTTTCTTTTATTATGGACCTAATCTCCTTGTGGTCGAAAGCTTATGTTGAATCTGTTTGCAAGGCCTTGGATGGAGGAACGCAGATAATCATACTCCTTCTGTCGCTGACCGTTCAGGGCGGTGTGGGACCACGATTGAAGCTACAAATTCCCACGTGAGTCTAGTGATAATTGTTTGAACTTGTGGAGCCCCATCATACTCAATTCGACCTGCCACTTTTCAGTTACTTTTTGAATCCACCTCATCCTCTGCCGCGAGATTTCTGCTACTTGAAGAACAGCAAGGCCAATTCCTGAAGGATAGAATAAAATTGTATCATAACTCTTCTACTTTCTTCTTGCATGTATTGTTATCTGAACTTGAAAAACTAATTTCAATTAAATATCAAAATATACCTCTTGAAATACAAATCACCATCATTGACATTATGACACTGCCTTCATTTCCGGAGTGGCATCTCTAATACGAGTTACTGTCAAGTTCCTCATTTTCCTTAGGGGGTGCATAGAATCAAATTAATCATTGGCTACAAAAACATCTTAAGGCTGCATCTAATTAAAAATCTATGGGATATATATTTGTCTCATGGAGGTGAGATGTTCTGTGAATGTCTTGTCCCCTCCCAAAAAAAGATGTATTCATCAATTTTAGCAATGGGATTGAGTTGATGGACATGTGATGGATGATATCTTCAGATGCAATAGTATTAGTGACTCTTAATTATCAAGGCAAAAGGATGATAGTCAATCTGTTGTAGATTAGTGACTGAAAGGGGTGATTAATGGCACCAATGCATATGTCATTACGAGTAAGGAAAAGCAGCTTGTACATCCACTTCATACGCTTCTTTCTTGAGAGTCCTTCAGATAAAAACAGCGCTGTGCCAAGTGCCATTGCGGCATTGGCACCATGTCCCAGACGGGGTTTACCCGGGAAGCCCCCGGCTGTCCCAAACCCGCCGCATTGATTTTTCGGCGACGGAGCAAGTCCCGACACCCACCACATCCAGCCAATGGCCTCCTCACCAGCCGACCAAGCTTCAAGCTCATGCAAGCTCAGCACGATCGAGGAAGCCCTCGAAAGCTTCCGGAACGGGGAATGTCTAGTGGTCGTCGACGATCTCGAGCGGGAGAACGAGGGAGATCTGGTCGTTGCGGCGGCCAAGATCACGACAGAGATGATGGCCTGGATTATCAAGCATTCTAGGTAAGACGTTCATCCTCTAAATTCATTCATCCCATCCAAAGTTCTCCTCCGCCAATCCCGCCTTCGTAATTCCTTTGTTTTTTTCCCGCATAAATTCTAATCTGTGTTATGTATCACCGTCGGATCGGGACCTCATTTCGGATACTCATAGTCGTTTGTTTCTAGCGGGTATGTCTGCATCGCTCTTCCCGGCGAGCGGCTGGACCAACTTGAAATCCCCTTGATGATCGAAACCAATACGGAGAAGCACAAGACCGCATATACTCACACAGTTGACTACAAGCACAGTTGAGTACAGATGTCCATCAGACCAGACGGTAAGACATCAAGATATGTAATTACTTCAACCCAGCTTAGTTTGCTTCTTTTTTGTTTCGCCGGATTTCTTAGATATCGCAACCGGAATCTCCGCCCATGACAGGGCGTTGACTGCCTCCAAACTAAGTGACCCATCGAGTCGACCTGAGGACTTCACTCGGCCGGGACACATGGTTCCTCTACGAGCTAGAGAAGGTGGGGTTTTGACTAGAAGAGGGCACACGGAAGCAGCGATTGGTCAGTTTTCATCTCTCACCCCATTTCTGACCCACTTCTGCTCCCCTCCATGCAAAGGTCACACATACTTACTTTTTTTTTGTACCGGGGGTATGATGCAGACCTTTGCAGACTAGCTGGACTACCCGCGGCAGGTCTTATATGTGAGCTGGTGAAGCCGGATTGCCCTTTGGGCTCGATGGCCCGTCGCGACGATTGCGCACAGTTTGCGAGCCAGTGGAATTTAAAGATGATCAGTATTGAAGATCTTGTGCAATATCGGCGAAGGCAGCTTGAGAGCTAATCCAAATTAAAATTTTGATATTGTCATGCTTAACAAATTTTGTGTACCTAAAGAGATAGAGAGACATTAGAAGCATATGCATACATACAGAAGTCTGCATTACCCCACACATCTTGGGTAGTAGGTTTCGGTATTGGTCGAATGACAATAAAATCTCCACTGACATATGATTCACCTAACCAAAGCAGGTGTCCCATTCAACTATGTCATTAATGGTTGCCAGAGAGTTTTTCTCAGTCAATTCCAGTATCATCATGCTGTTTTGAGATACACAATATTTAACAGAGCCTTTGGACTCTTTGAAAGATGTCTTGGAGGTGCTGACAGGTTTTTTACCTTTATGCTGAAGAGGAACAGATTTTCTGAGGTGGGATGTAAAATACAGTCAAGTCTCCAGTAACCCATGTACCTATCAACCCATAGTCCCTCATATCCCACGGCAAACTTGGTCCCCAAATTTGAGGATTGAGCATAACCCATAAGCCACTGTTTCCATTCAACCCATACTTGTTTATTTTTTTTTTCTTTCAAAAAAGTCACATCTCCATTAAAGTCAAAGGAGACTTTTTGCATATGTACATAGCACATCAGAAGCAAGCAGTGAAAGAGCTCACAATGAGGTCCCCGCTCAACAGGCGTGGTTGAACACCAAGATTCCTATTCGTCCTCCGAGCTGTTTGGTGTGCGGACGCACTTTAGACGGTGCTCGGTCGGATGGCGCCTCTGCAGTGTATTCAATGTGGATGCTTGGCTCCATTGGTTGCAGGCAACATTTGTGAGGCACAGTGTGTACAGTTTCCATGGAATTTGCTGTCTGATTGGTGTGTTGAATGGAAAATTTTGGAAATCCAGAAAAGTAAAATAGGGTACATCAGCACCCAGCCCGTTTGGCCAGTCGCCGGCCCTCATCCTCCTCGAACTTCCATCACTGCCATTCAACCAAAGATGTTCAACACGAAATCTTCGAAACCAAGAGCGTACACTGCCTATCTGGTGATTACCCTGGTTACTTCCTCTGTCCACCTTTCCAAGGCCCGATCCAGTCTTCTGCCGAGGAGTGGTGCCTGGCCACAATGCGGGCAATTCATCGATATCAATTATAACGGTCCCCCTGGCACGATGTGTAAGCTCAAAATTGGTCCGAAGCCCTCTTGAATCTCGTTTCTTATTCTACTGGCCAAAAACGTCTAACAAGTCCATCCTCGACTATGTAATGTATGTATTCACAGTGTGCGGAACTTCCGACCGGGCAAACTATCAGTGTGACAAGGATAAGTGTAACTCGGGAGAGGGACCCAGTAGTGACCCTAAGCAGCACCCTTGTGAGAAGAGAAATTTGATCCGATTCCTATGAGCATGCTGTCTTGATCTTTTTTCGTGTACTGATACATACGTGTGTGCACTGAATTCACGTCCAAGTTTCTCAGATGACCTGGCAAAATTGTCAACGAGATGCTCAGCACGGGGAGCCCGCTGCAGAAGGCAGAACAGTTACTAGAACAGTGTCGATGCATGCTGACTATCAGAAGCAAACAGTGGGTAAGTTGGTGGTATTGTTGGTCAAACCTGCCGATTTTCAGACCGGTCACTTCAGCACCACCTATAATTAAAACTGCAACCTTCCTTTACAGGGGTCTGGGGGGGCGAAGACGGCCTCACAAGTAACTTCAACTTCTTCTATACTTGTGCCTTCTCAGCACAAAACGATCGCAGATCTTGTGAGTCTTGCTTTAATTTCAAGTCAAGCTTCTCACAGAGACTTAAATACGCACCTTTTGATACCTTCCAGACTGCCGGGATTGTACATTGGTGTGGAAGGAGCTGAAGGAGGAGGATGGTCTTGATGTATAGGGGATCACCTACACACACACAATTGAACTTTCTAACTCCCAATTCCTTCCTCCTAGCGCTCAAGTCTACACCGCGGTCCTAGAGCTAGAGCACTCGAGGATTTTGCTTGTGGCCGTTTTAAAAGAAGTCTCACCCACACTTCCCTGAATGATTTTTTGTTTCTTTTTTCTTTCCACCGCGAGCACCCAAGCTGTCTCGTCTAGCTGCATGCAGCTCTCATTTGCACTTAAACCATAGCACTGCATCACCTGGTCAAACATAGTGTGTTTTTCACCTCAGAGTTGTTTCCTGAAGGAGTTTGGGTAACTAGTAGTATTACTGCTATACACACCCCATCCATCCCTTCTGATTTTTTGTCCCCTCAACATCAGCCAGATTGGCAAGGAAAGGGTCTTTGTTCACATCAGAAGATGATCATGATTTGACCATGATTGTGATCCACATGTGATGTTTCATGTTTGTGCTACAGATTGGTGACACTTGAAGATCATGGGATATCACATATTGCACCTGTCAGGTATCTGTGACATTCCTAGAATCCTCTTGATTTGGTACTTTCTTCCCATTGCTGGTTCAATCCCCATCTGAGTGAAATAATCACCCCAGTCTCTTCCTCTTGATAAGAATATCCAAGCCTCTCTCTGCTTTGTACCAAATTCATTATCTTGTCTAGCTTTGCTCTTTCTCTTGTTCCAGTCTAGTCTTGCCTTATCTCAGTGCCACACTAAATTGGGCCACATTTTTCATAGTTATACTTTCCTTCCTTGTTCATTATTTTTTCCAATTTGCTCCATTTATTTTCCAACCACCAGCTGGGAACTCTCCAGAGTCTTGTATATAAGGACCTTTGTTTTTCCTCTTCATTTGTTTCCCATCGGATCCTGACCCAGTGAGTCCAGATGACTGATCACCCATTATTAGCCAGGTATATGCCCATCAACACTGGGGATACCTTGATTTGTGAACAATTACATTTCAACTAGTAAACATAAGAAATATTAGACATACCATCCTCAAGGAATCACCAAAGCCAAACATATTACTCAAGAGTCCATATTATCTTTCTTTTCTTGTTACCTTACTCAACCTAGTTCCCAGAGAGGCATCCCATTGAAGCACCACCTCTCAAGCTCTATTCCTCCCAAGAGTAGTTTCACAAAATCATTGATGTCACATCTCTTTTTACAAGCTTTTCCCTTGGCAATTTCTTGTTCATTTATACAACAGCAAAAATCTAGATGATTAAAAATAAAGTAAATCAATATAAATAACAATATCTGGGAAGTCTATACATAAATTTATGACTTACCCAATTTTCTCCTCTTTCAAGGGTTAGGATAAGGAATGGTATTCCAACATGAAAGACAGCAATGGAATATCTGATTTCCTTGAAGAATGTAAAGGGCTATGTGAAGGCTGCGTCTTGAAAATCACATTGGTCCAACAGGATCCAAAAGTGTTGGCTAAGGTGGGCCAGATCTCTTTTGCATCAACATCTATAAATCCATTACTCATTGTGCTTTCTTTTGGAATGACATTGGAAATAGAAAGCATTGAATAATCTGAAGAAAAAACATGGTCACACTGGAGACAACAGCAACCCAGACCCCCAGTAGGGGCAGATTCTTTGGCTGCTATTCTCAGCAACATAAGGCCATTGCACGCAACTCACAAGCCCTGTGAGAGACTTTCTGGCTCACCTGATTTCCCAGGCTTGATCAAACCTGGGGACCCCAGTCACTATTTTGTACTCACAGTTGACCAATTGCATTTTAGGGTACAAGCAATGGTGAGTATTGGTGGTTTTGTGTGACAATCTTCAACTAATCTTGTGTTGATGGTTTAAAAATTCTAGATTGACAAGAAATAGGTGAAAATGTACAAGCCCCCAAGTAGATATTTCACTTAATACCTGGGTACGCACAGCAGGTGCAGGTACCCGCCTCAAAAATCCAATATTTTGGACACCCACACCCGCCAGGTCTGCCAGGGCAGGTACCTGGGTACCTCCGGGTGTGGAGGATTCAATGGGCTTTGTTGAGGCCGGAGGGAACCCTCCAGCCTTTGAGACAAAGTACAGTCTCGATGACTAGAGGAATCCCTCCAGTCATCAAGAAGGTGTACAGTCTCAACGACAGGAGGTATCCCTCCAGCTGTCAAGACTGTAGTCAGTCTTGATGGCAGGAGGGTTCCCTATGGCCTCAACAAGCCCATGTAGGACATCAAATGGTGTCCTACATGGGTTGCTGACACCTTTGTGCAGCCCAACACACCCAAAAAAGAGAGTGTTGGACCGCCAACGAAAATTTCAATTCTCATGGGAAGCATTCCCAGGGCGGTGTAAGAGCATATCCACCGGGGGAGGTAAAATTGGGTTGCTACATCCCCGTGATGGCAACTCAGATTTTACATGTAGCAACCCGCGCAGAATTTCTGCCCACCCGTGTTTGCTACATGATCAAACTTGAATCTGTGATTCTTCAGTCCCCAATATCCCCTCCAGTTTCCTTCCATCTCCCCGATCTCTCAAACATATCTACGACCATCACCTCACCACTCGGCTACCCATATCGAAAACATGATGGACCTTCGATTGATCCAAAGTATGATTGATGCTCAATCAGCGGCGCTGGCCACAAACCGACAAATCCAAACCATTCTAGCCGATACAGTCAATATCGTTGTGGAGGATGAAGATAATGAAAACCAGGAACCACCAAAGCGTGGCAGATCAAGACCTGGACGTCTTCCAAACTTACCTTGAGGTTTTGAAGAAGGATACCAACGACTCTACAAGGATTACCTTGCGCCTGAGCCGGTCTACGTTGATTATCTATTCCGAAGACGCTTTCGAAAGCATTGCCCACTATTCATGAAAATTGTGGACCAAGTGACTGCACACGATCGATATTTCCAAAAGAAACCGGATGCGTTGTGGTAAGCCAATCTTGAATAGGAGGCCCACAAAATCAAAGCATCAAGCACAATAATAAGCCCTCTGGACAACATTACCCTCAAGGATCAAGACAAGCCCCTTCTGGATTATTCAACCAACCTGCAACACCATGGATTTCACAAGACCAAGCCCCCTGGAAAGAAACACTCTGGATTCCACATTACACTTCTTTATTACATAATCACTTCATGCAGTCTTACATCATCAATCTTCATTCCGCCTTCCACACTTGGCCTCTGCAGGTGTTTCATTCTATTCCAATTTCACTCTAGCCTCATTTCCACTTTGGGCCACATTTAACTGTTTCACACTATTACTCTTGGGTTATTTACATGTCTCACACTAGTACACATTTGGCTAGTTCATTTATCTCTTTTCTATATTCTTCCTTCCCCTTTGGTTGTGGCACATTCAATCCCTGCATGTCTCTGATGTCATTTCCCCCATTTATCTTAGTGTCTACCAATTGGGCCACATTGTCTCAGGTTGATATTTTTCACTCTTCCATTTTGTTCCATCCCCCTTCCACCCACAACCTGGCCACTCCCCAGAATCTTGTATATAAGGAGCCTTGTTTTTCATGTTCATTTGTTCCCCATCAGATCCTGCCCCAGTGAGCCAGATAACTGATCACCCATTATTAGCCAGGTATATGCCCATCAACATTTGGGATACCTTGATTTGTGAACAAGTATATTTTGACCAGTAGACATAAGACATATTAGACATACCTTACTCAAGAAATCTCCATAGCCACACCTATTCTTCAAGAGTCCATACTCTTGTTCTTTTCTTGTTACCTTACTCATCCTAGTTCCCAGAGAGGCAGCCCATTAAAGCACTATTCCCTCTCAAGCTCTATTCATCCCAAAGAGTAGTTCCACACCGTTGGGTTGTCCCGTTCTGCACCCAGTTCAGAAAATAACCTCCGCTCTCACAATGCTAGCCTACGGGGGTGCTGCAGACATGAATGACGAATACATCCGGATCGCTGAAAGTACATCGTTGGAGTCATTGAACAAGTTTTGCAGTGTGATTATCGATATATACGGTGAAGAGTTCCTACGACATCCTACTGAAGAAGATATCAAACGATTGACCACTGTGAATGCACAACGAGGCTTTCCTGGAATGCTTGGATTGATCGATTGTATGCACTGGCATTGGAAGAATTGCCCGGCAGCATGGAAGGGGCAATATCAAGGCAAAGAAAAGGTGATTCCTTTTCTCATCAAATACAATTATGGGTCTGTGAATCATTTATTGATGAGGTGATCTGATTTCATTCAGGTTGCAACAATTATCCTCAAAGCAGTGGCCTCCCATGATCTATGGATCTGGCACGCTTTATTTGGCCTTCCAGGTTCACATAACGACATTAATGTCATCGATCGATCTCCTCTCTTCAAGAATCTACTCAACGGTCAATCCCCTCGAATCAAATATACTATCAACGGTAACAAATATGATCAAGGATATTACTTGGCTGATGGGATATACCCTGATTGGTCAACCCTTATCAAGACAATCTCAGCCCCACAAGGGCTTGAAAAGAAGGTGAGACAATCAAGCTATCATAACTTTTCTCATGTACTGACATCTACGTTGTTTGTTATGAAAAAGCACTTTGCTAAGGTTCAAGAAGCGTGTCGAAAGGATGCTGAGAGGGCATTTGGCGTCCTCCAAGCTTGATTTGCGATTGTATCTCGACCAGCAAGAGGGTGGAGTCATGGAAACATGCAGAAGATAATGACAACATGTGTCATATTGCACAACATGATCATAGACGATGAACGTGGAATGGATGAA